AAGTTATTTTGAAGCATCAGAATAAAAAAATACAAGCAAGTCTGCTGCATATTCAGATACTGGGTTAACTTCTGCTGTTTTGCCTACTAGAGTTTTGGCAAATTCTAGATTTCTAATCTCTAAATCATTTAAACAAAACTGAGTTGGTAGGCTAACTACCAGATGTAGTAGTTCCATCACGTCTCCACCAAGTAGCTTTACGAGAATAGTTTCACCTAATACTTTTCCTGCCGCATAGCAGATGGTTGTTTAATTTGATCCTTGTTGCACTCCTTAAATTGAGTTCTACCTGCACTTTTTCATAGGATTTTTGAGAAGTTTATTTTGCGTAACAAAGTGGCAAAGAACTGCTTGTTTCTGAAGTCACAGAATGAACAGAATAAATACGAGATTGTTTACTTTCTTAACATGTCACTGTATATACATACTATGCCATTTCTGCACCACACTCGGGAAACTAAAATCTACTTTTTTCAAGGACAGTGGTATTACCTGAGGTACCTTTGTTCCTAAATTTGGTAACAAAATTAGTAATGAACATCTCTGTTTAAACATTTACAGTGGTGTTAGCGCTATTAACTACCCAATGAAGCAGGAAATGTGAGGCTGCTAGCGCTCAAATCTGAAAACGTTGGGTACATAATAGATTTTCTGGGGACATATGCTGCGGATGGAGTAAAAGCCTTATGGCATGTGTTACCGATAGCTTTGAAAGTTATACAGGTCCATGTCTTTCCTAATAATTCCTCTTTACTTTAAGGTTCTGTGCAGCTTGCGCCGTTGGTATTTGTAGTTCTAGTTTGAGAGAGATATATATATACAGTCATCTATATATTGATATATACTATCCTGCTCCTCTGTCAGAACGAAGCTAACCTTTCAACATTACCTGTCAACAGTCGTGACCAGAGACAGCCCATCATCTCAGGGACTGATTCCCACTGTCACAGTTTTTGCTAGTTGCACCTAGCAAAAATTCCACTCATATTTAAAATAAGGTTCAGGCCAATGACACCCAGCCTGTGTTCCCAAGGGCCCATCTGCATCTCACCTTTACCAGTGCAAATGCCTATTCCTAGTACCAGCGCAACCACCCTAGCACACACAGGACGCGAGATGGGAATCCGGCAAGCGGAGCCTACATTCCTAGAAGTCATTCCTTGTTTCAACTCGCAAGGTTCCTCCATTCTAAAGAATGTCTGAGTTAATTTATAAGCAAGAAATGCATCTACCCAGGCCTTTTATGTTCTACCAGTATACAAGCTACTAACACAATGCCCTCTTCCTCTCATATTTAACTGTGCAAACATAGTCTCCTCACCCTAAAGGTTTCCTTTACAGTTAATCGGTCACTAATCATCACAGATCTCCCCCTAAGCAAAGCATGAAACTTTTCAGTTGCCACGAATCAACGCTGCAAGCTAACAGCTGTCACAGCAGGTTTAAGGGCGGTTTATCAATGGCGATGCTAAAGAAAGTAGCTTGATGACATATGTAAACATAACAGGTAATTAATCTGGAGACCCTATCCAGGAGCCAAGCCTGAGGTGAGACTGAAATCTGCCTCTAAGTTGAAAACTACTGCAAAGATCACCTCTGCAAGATACAACTTTCTCAAACATGTGCCTATTTATAGTGCCGTTACAGCTGATGATAATATTTTTACAATGAATAAAACCTGGCCAAGAAATAAATATCTAAGAAAATATACTCCATACTTTCGTAAACCCTGAGAAAGGCCATTCCTAGGATCAGACAGCTCACACTATTGACCTTTCTTGTGCTACTGTCAGATGATGGGGAGGGAAGAGAAGCAGAGACAAAAGAGATCATCTGAACAGATGAGTCTCTCAACTTACACAGTACAGAGGAAGGAGTGGAGTGGGAGAGCTCAGACTCAAGCGAATGACTCTCTGAGTTTGCATTTTTCGTGGACTTGCCCGCTGAATTGATGGAAAGAAACACAACATATGAACAAACAAAGATGAAGAGGTAGAGTGCGATCAGAATCCTCAGCAGGCACTGGCAGCAGGAGCGGCCGCTGGGGCACGGCACGGGTGGTGACCAGTGAGATGAAGAAGCAATGGAAGAGGAGGAGTGGTGGGTGGAACACAACCTCTCCATGTCACCCTCCTTTGTGAGAGCTGTATGAGGGTCAAGTAGATGTGAAGGAAGAAAAAGAGAAGGCCAAAAGAAAAATAACGGTAATTTAATTACAAGCAACAAGAACTTACAAAATCTTTGAGCACACAAACAATGTTAATGATGTACTTTTGGGAGGCGGTGTGGGTGCCACAGAACAGTTGTAAAGGTCGTAGCCATAAATGACTCTGTTCAGATGCCAGCGCGGATTTATCTCTGTAGCCAGTACTGAGATACACAGGGTTTTGAAAGAGCTTTTAAAAAAATGTTCTTAGAAATTCAAAGGTTTTTATTCAGGAAAGTATGTTCCAAACCGATTAGTTTAAATTGGTTTCTTTCTACTGTTAAATAAAATAAAACCAACAGGTACAAAATGAAATAAATTAGCGAAATAGATGAAAATACGTGCCTCCTGAATGGTTAATGTTTTGAAGCGATGTACCTTACAGGCATATTAAGTAGCACAGATTAGCCAGAATTTACCTAATCTGTAAGTGCCCTACAACTCCACAATTTTTCCCGTCAGGAATCATGATTCTTACTAGTGCTTTCATTAGTTGATTTCCAGGGGCAAAAAAATACCACGAGAAATCTAGATTTCCTGACCATGAGAAATTTAACAACTCAGCTTTATAAAAATCTGTGTGCATTGCTGGCAAATATAATGATGGTATTCTCCAGCATTACTGAAAAAAACACACCAATCTCATATCAGAGATGCTGCCAGAAGAGCTCCGCTCTCATTACTACAGGAAGGAGAAATCCCACAAGCAATCCCAGAAGGCAGCATTGCCTACAGTCCAGTTTTCGGTATGTTTTTTCTGTCCACTCCTGTCCTTATATTTAGGAGGGATCACTGTCATGCAGATAAGCCCCTGAGCAATGGTTAATGTTAGAAATTTATGTTAGCAAGGAGCCTGAACTGCAGCTTCAAGTAATTTCAGACCCAAATTCTAGAATTAGCTTATTCCTTCAATTAATAAAGCTCACCATTGTTTACCAAGCGCTGTTTCTAGTAAAAGGTGTTCCGATCCTAAAAGACGTAAAGGCATACATGAGCAAGACAAAGTTACAGGCACTAACATTTTCAATAAATAACAAATGAAAAGTAAGGCTGATTTTGCTGTCTTCAAGTTAAAATATCTGCCTTCAAAAGTGAAAATAGGGTGAGATCCTGACATGAGAGGAGAATACTGTATGCATTCCTTGATAGATATGAGGTAAGAATCTGTCCCTAAAGACACATTTGTAATAGCTGATTTAAGACTTTTTTTTTTTTCCCTATTGCTACCTTTCTTAAGGAATTGTAACATTTGTAATACTTCGTACAGACATGCATATACACACACACTCCCACAGGGCACACAAAAACACAACTGTGCTGGAGATGATATACCCCACGCAGACTCACATGATCCACACAACTTTAAAGAATCAAATCAATAAAAAATAATAAAACCACTTGAGGCAGAGCTGAATGTTTTGAATATGCGTGGGCTGGTAGTCTGTACAAAGGAAGGAACCTCGTACCTGTTTGTGCAATCTATGCACGGTGTTAAAGTAAGAGGAGGAGGAATGAAGTGCATCGATTGCACGCCTTTGCAAAGAAGAGTCATTCTCTGCGAGGCGTAGGTCATACCGCAATACTATAAAACATACACTAACGCTGCTTTTCAGTTACAGACTGGCATCCCCATTTCCCTTCTCCTTCGCGGGAAGGAGAGCGCCTATTCCTGTGTTGCACTCCGTGCTGCAAAGAAAAGCAACAACATTTTTAAGGTTCTTTGTCACCTAAGGTGGGAAACATCCCTTCTAGATTTCAAATTTGGTGACAAGCATCATCTTGAGCATACGCGTAAGGACCCAGTCAGTCAGTAATCTGAGAGAATTTTCTCTGCTACCTCTGAAATCCATTCGTCCCTATTAGTATCTTATCTCCAGCTGCAGCCGGTAGCTGTTCCTGACAAGAGAACAGCTTTCTCACTGTTGCCCTAGAAAATCTACATCCAGAAGTCAAGTTTAGTGTAGGGGGGAAAACGTCCTTCCTTAAGTGCCTTAGCTAAAGCATGAAGGTTGGGCTTATAACAGCCGTCAGGGTTGCAGGGCTGCCTATTCCCTGAATCATTCTAGAAATTACACCCTAGGGGTGCTGTTAGCTTTAATTTATAATAAAACAATCTGAAAAGCAGGCTCCGGTGGAAAGACTGGAAAGTGTGAGAGGAATACTAAGAAGCGAAAAGCAAGCAAGCTTGCAAGCAATTAATGACAGGGAGACTGTGTTTTTATTATAAAGAGCAGACGAAATCCCTATACACTGGAATAAAATGTGCACCTGGTGCACAGGGCAGTGGTACCGCCGTGTGTCAGGCCATGGACCTGATGCTGAAACAGCTGCATCGGCGTAGGAGGTTGTGGCGATCATCCCAGGCGATAGCAGCTCAAAGTGTCATTCTCGGCGGGGAGGGAGCATCCCACCTTCCCACCGAAGCAGGCGAGGAGCGATACGACGCTGCCTCCTCTTCTGCAAGCACAGGTAACATCTTTCAGCTCCTCCTTCTGTACTCTCCAGAAAATACAGAATGCCACACTCTGTCTGGAGTACAGCCTCAGCTCATCTTACTGGCTTATCCACTTTATGACCTTTGTATCACCGTTACGTAGCAAAGGGGTCAGGAACCTACAAATATCAGAAAACTTCATCTGCTAAACATGTTACATCTGTCACTAAGCTACAGCAAAGAGGACGCAACCAGCATCTTATCTCTCAGACGTGTGATTACTGCAAAATCCTCTGTTCTGTTTTGGGAATACAGCACATCGTGGCCACCTAATCTGCTCTTAACTGTGATGCTACAGAATCATATAAAAGAATCTGGCCAAACATTTTCATTGTTGTTTTTCTTGTAATTGTATTCCTGAGAATTCTGCGCGCTAAGCTTCAGACAGAATTTTACAAAAATCCCACTGTTACAACATCGTGCTGTATCATCATGCCGAGGCCCTATAATTAAATTGTTCATTTAATGAGGTTAGTTGCTAAACTACCCATAATGGTTTGAAGGAAGAAATACAAAGTGTTATGAATAAAGGTAAATTACACTGTATTTTCCTCTGTATCAGCTGCAGATACCTGTAATTGTTCTCCAAGCCATTACTTTGCATTAACTCAAACCGCTATCGCTACGTTGCTATTTACAGTGAGCGGGTACTGGCTGTTAACGCGCCCAAGACTTTGTTCAAGCAGAGGTGAAATGATTGACTGAAACTTTGAGAACACAGCGCCAACATCAGTGACTTGAACTAAAGGTAACTGCAGCTCATACAGTTAACGTCAGCCACGATTTACAGCTGCATCACTACTAGCAGTGGATAGAAAATCTTCTTTCCACCCAGGGAACACCAACTACGCAAAAGTAGAGAAAATCACTGCAGTACAACAGACTGCAGATATTAGCCCGCACGGCAGCTGAGCTCCTGAGCCTTTCCAAAAGCAGCGTGAAGAGCAGCAGCAGGAACAAGACGCTGGGCTCCGCCCCAGGCTTGCTCTGCTCTCCTGTGCAAGCCTGAGCCAAGCTTCCACGAGGTAAATGCCCGATGAATCTCATACGCAGCGTAATGTAAAATCTGCATTTTCAACACCGCGCTCCTTGGACAGCCGCTACCAGCAGACTGTGCTTTCCTGCTCACACTATCAAATCATTACCCGGGCAGTGCTGAGATTTCTATCAAACATGCAGAGCACCTGTTCTACCAGTCAGAAGCTAAGCGCTAGATATTTTTGATAGAACTCTAACTACTTTATGTTTGAATCTCTTCTAAATTCTGAAACGCTCCATGCTCGTCGGAGGCCAACGAAGCTCTTCAGCAGATTCAAGTCCACACCTTAGGGCACAACTTTGCTAATACAGTGACTTAGGCTTTACACTACTTCCAACACAAAGCAAACCCCATATTACAATGGTTCACTAAGAATTCTCTTTTCCATTCTCCAGGTTTTTTCTTTACTACCATCTCTGGCTTGCGTTTCACCTGTTCGTACAACATTGTTCTTTGAGGCTGAAAAACCACCTTTTCTGTGAACCAGCGATACACAAACCTAATACTCTTTCTTTTAAAACCCTTTGCTTGAAAACATGTTATTAAAGTAAGTATGAGTAACATCACAGTATAATATTTAGAGGGAAAAAAATGGAAACAAAACCCGTATCTGTGAAGTTACGGAACTAATTTTATAAAAAAATTATCGATTTTAGTTTTTCAAAGAATAAAAGATGATTAAAATAAGCGTATGGACAGAACAAAAGAGAAACATGAAAAAACACTGGCATCTGAACAGAATAAAAATTAAAACCGTGACATAAAAACAAAAAGCAAACCGAAAACACAAATGCATGCTAAAAGTACATAAACTAAGTAAGAGTTACAAAGCACTGACTTACATGTTTTTTATCTACTACTATTATTACTGGAAGTAGTATCTTTAGTTAATAAGCAGTAACTTTATATTCTTCATTCCAAAACATCATGGCAAATGGCGTTTGGGGAAATGAAAAGTCAAAGGTAAGTCTGAAACATGTCAGAAGTAACACAGGGGAGCGTAAAAGTAATTTCTTTTAAACAAGGAAAAACAGTAGTCTCTCTTAAGATTCATTAGGAATTTCTGTGTTTAATGACCTAATGGAATACGTTCACATAACTCATGTTATCGCTTCTCCAAATGTTTCGAGCTTAAAATCATACCTTTCACATCCTCATCTTCAATGGTTGTATTGGAACTCTCTGTTGATTCCTGTTGAGAAGCAAATATAAGTAGAACGTATAAAACAAGCCAAGCCTTACTTGCGTGCCTTTGAAAATTACAGTTAGTTACAGGTATCATGCAAAGCCTTGAAGCAGGGTGGGATGTAATTCACAAACACATGGTCACACACCGATTAAGACATTTCCACCTGCAACTGATGCCAAACGTTGCCATTCTCTACAGTAGGGAAAATAAATACATTTCCTGCTGTCTAATGCTTTTACTTCACAGGAATGTAAAGGAAACTTTTTTTTTTCTTTAACATCCAACTGTACAAAGTCCATCTGAAATGTTATATGAATTACCTCAGCCAAGTAGGAGAGCTTGCCATTTAAAGCTTAGTGATTAAACCAACTGTGCAAAATAAGTCATTCCGTTACAACTTTTAAATATGCAGACTTCTGCATGCTACAGTTTACAACTGTTTTTCTGCTCATAGGACTTACGCAATGTATATTGAAACAAAGTGATTTTAAGAATATCGGATCAGATTCTGCCATTTTTATGCTGTTTTTGTGATAAAAAATTTTGTGAAGGAGATGGAGAATCGATAAATATATGATAACGGCTCTGACAAATTGGGGTATCTTTGTAGTAGTATTCTTCAAACAACCGGTGACGGCAAGGAATGACTCATCTATCAGACGGTTTATACTTAAGCCACCACACTGTTAAGAAGGCAAGGATACCGTATCTCAGTCTTTCGTGAATTACCAGAAACATGAAATATTACAGGCAAATTCAACAGGGCTCTGTCAAATCTAATAGGTGCACAGTCTTAGAACGCCGGAAAGTTTTTAAATTTGACTCTTTTAATCCGTATACTTTCTTGAAAAGTAGAATCAATGTAATTTTTTTTTTTTTTTTAAATTCACAGCTCAATAGCAAAAAAGGATTAACTGGCCCGTTTTCATCTGAGAGAAGACAGGACTGGTATTGTATTTAATTCTTAAAAGGATTTTACAATTAAATAATAAAAGGTAAACTTGACAGTGCCCTTTATTTACTATGTCCTCACAAGGCTGAGCCGAAGGAATGTTCAAAACGGTTAATGCATTACTCAGACCTTAAAAAACCAAAACGTATGTGCATCCATAAATAAAACTACATGAATTAACTCACACACAAACAAAACTGACCAAGTCACCATGCTTTTCCTGAACTGGCTGGTGTTAGACGGTTCGCTCTACACGGATGTATCATGCTCTATCACTTAAAATATTAGATAAAGTACTTATAAGTAAACAAAACCCCCACACAAATACAAGTTGCAAACACCATGCACAAGCTCACACGGCAGATTGTAGCCTGTAATATTGAAGCATCCACTCCAGTTGCCATACTACAACGATCAGTCTTTCAGACAAATTTAGGAGTAACTCTCCGCATTAAGTGGTTTGCTTGTCTGCTGTGACCTTTTGGGACATTGAGTATCTTAATTGCTGTGATGATATAATAAAGCCAAGTAGATGTAGTCACGCCAATATTTTATCTGGGTTTTCTGGTCTTTAGTGGACTTCAGCGATAAAGATTAGACTAGTGTTCAAACACAGGCTCTTTGTTGCCTATGAGTTTAAACTTGGGGAGCTGAAAAAGTAGTAACGTGAAAATAAAAGCTCTACGTTCGACAGATGCGAGGTACGTAAAGGAACGGGATATACAAGCACAATACACACCATCAGCACTTTCATGCTTAGAGAAATGTCTGCATGCGTTATTTTTTCACTCGGATTCAACCCTTCTCGTATGAAATAACCACAAGTAGTTAAGACTAGCTAAATGAGATGTCAATTCTTTAAGTCAACACTGTAAACAGTGAAATTTTTGTTGAAGAGTAAATTCTTTCCAGGAAACCTAGGAACATATGTTATATGTAAATGATGGTATTTCCTGGCCCTTTTCAAGTCCATGCATGAAAAAAACAAAACAAAACACGTTTTAGGAATCAGCTGCCAAACGCAAACATCACAATACACAAGAAAAAGAAAAAAGCATGAGGGAAACGTATAAAAATCAAAAGACCTCTTTGTCACTTGGAATGTTAAATTTTTTTGAAACTGCTCAGTGATGTTATGGAAGAAAACCAAAGTCCTGTGCAAAAGACACGTCACAACATGGTGTATAAGCATGCCGAGAGACAGCAGATGGGCTAAACTGAAATGACATCTTTATCTAAGGTGACAACTGCACATAAAACTCGTCAGTATAATCTCACCACACTCTGAGAACAGCGTTCTTTGCTTTTACTTAAGACTGCAGCATTTTTGGCTGAAGTGAGAGACACACCACGCTCCCCGAGCCCGGCTGCACAGGGTCCTGAACTCTGCCAATTGCTACCGACTCCTCCAAGAGCCTCAGCAGCTCAGCAGTCAGCAGGACGCACGCCGCAGATGAAGGCAGATGAAAACAGGCTCAAGAGACATGGGGTGTAACAAATGCAGGAATGAGATTTTCCTTGCTAAATTCCTGGAATGGCCCTCTTTTGCTGTGGAAGAGTGGATGAAATGTGTGGTGTGGAAAAGCAAGATGGAGTTGATTCTTTCTGAATACCTTATTTCCATCAGGGTTGTGGATTACTGTAGTTTGGGGCTCCTGAGCGAGAACAAAATAAAGAGAAAAAGAGTTCCCATTGGTAAATACATTCTCATTAGTGTGAGGGAGTGCAAGAAGAGCCAGCTCACAAATGCTGAACACTGACAAGAACTAAATCAAATGTTAAATGTTGCCAGAGGGTGAAACTGGATGTCTCTAATACAAGTTTCCTCATCAGCAAGCCAGCAAAAAAGACCATCTCACCTAAAGCAGCAGCATGCAGAGACCTTATTCATGACCAATGTAGACAGGGCTTTGAAGCTCTGGAGACCTGCAGAGGCTCTCTTTTGCACAAGGGCGTACCAAATGCTTTGCACGTTTTCCTGTCCGGGCCAGGCCAGACAAGGCGGCCAGAAATCACCTCTTGTCTTTAAGCATGTTTGCTTGTATTAGTACTAAGTGAGCAAATAAAAATGCAGATGAATCGATAGGGATTAAGGACGAGTTAACTACCTCTGAACACTACCACGTTTTGGAATACATAGATTACTACTAATTGCTGCCCTGGCAGAGCAGCATAAAAGCAAGCGAGAGAGATCTCTGCGTCATTTTAAAGTGTAATTTCCCCAAATCCTTCTCCCTTAGAAAAAGATTAAATAATCTCTGAAATGGCAGTTAGCCAGCATACTTTCAGCATGGACTATTGTGCATGGCCACGTCTGGGAATAGACTGCCATATACTCATGCATGAAACCTCTTAACCGGTCCTTAGAAATTACTTTGCTTCTGTGCCAGTTGCACAAAAAAAATTCAGGAGGGAAAAACCTCTCCCGATGTGTGTGAATTATCCGCATTTGCAAAGCTATATACGCAGGCATATGGGAAACAACACCTCACAAAATTTGGGTACTTAAGCACTGGCATTTATATTCGTGAGCCCTGTGATACATGTATGCCTAAGAAATAGGAGCTACTAATAAAAGCAAGACTGCAACAGAAACATTCATGAACAGCACTCTGATTAGTAATATGTTCCTAACAGAGCTTATTAATGAGTAATGTCTCCTGCAGATTTAAACGTAAGAAACAAGCAAAAATGTTTAGCACCAGATGCCTCTTGATCCCAGTGAAGACTTGCAAAGTCCTGCTGAGTTTTAGGAAATATGGAATGAAAATCTGAATAAGGTCTATTTGATGGTAGCCTAGCAACAGTCCTGTTAGCTCTCCTTGATATCAATACTTACACTAAGACAAAGCAGAGAAAATAACAGAGCTGCTTTTTTTTTTTTTTTTTTTGGTGCAAAAGGTTAGCATTAAAAAGATGGAAACAGTCATCAGGCAAAGAGCTAAGAGCAACATAAAGCGCATTCTACTCACTTTCTGGCACAGCATGCAAAAAATTCAACTGCAGTTACAAATGCTATGACTCTACCGCATCCAGCTTCCATGTAACATTTTCTATTAATAAACACGCTCTAATGGACTTCCTCACAAAAAAGAAGAAAGCATAATTCAAACAAAAAGTTTTTCCAAAACCTGTTTTTAGAAAGCAAACAGAGTAAATGCAGGAAAAAAGCAAAAACGAAGGAAGAACAAACAGAAGACGGTCAAAAACGTCAAGATGGCATGAGAAGGAGGATTGCAGGTATACCAGCGCCGGGGTAGGAATATTTTCCTTGGGGCTGGTTACCACGTTCGTTTTGTTGTTTATCTGTAGGTATGCAGAAAATAGAAACAGACAGGCCTTAGAACTCGCGGTAGGCACCGTATCTATATCTCTCTGTATAGAACATCTATATACAGATATAGATATCTATATATAGATATAGATATGGAAATAAAGAATCACAGAAAGATGAACTTATGAACTTGAGCGAACGCTAACAATAGATCTCATAGCTAGCTGCAGCTCCTCCAAACATGCTAGCTACGGGTTTTCAGAGGCACTATACAAAGGTCTATATAAGGTATAGATGACTTCAGCTGTGACACTTAAAGAACAGAGAGCCTTTAAGTAGCAGCTAATCACATATAAGAAGAATAAAGAATTAATAGGGGTTTGAAGAAAGTCCTAAATAGCCATTGCGATTTCTTGACATGCAGCAGTATTAAACAATCGCACCCAGTTGTTCTTTATTTCTAATTACTTATCACTACCATAAATAACATTTGATTATTCATAGCTCTCCAGAAATCTATAGATTTGTTCTACAGGCTTCTGGGAACAGATTTGAACAAATACAACTGATTCCAGATCTGATTAAATACAACCGATGCTAGAAAGAGACTGGTGCCCCTTTAGCTTTTTTTGTTTTAATTTAGACAAAAATAAATGGTAGCTGTGATTTTCTGCAGGCCCAAGAACCCTGCAGTCAGTGTGTATCAGCCTTTTGATTTTGGTACTGTAACCTGAAAGTGTAAGGTTTCACGCTATAGTATCTGTAGTCTTACTCCACAAATCAGTACGTATCTGCTCAACTTTACATATAGGTCATCATGTTAATTCTTACGCTTAGTACAGTACTACACCTTTACAAGACTTTTGGCTTTCACTTATACAAAATTTGAATTTGAATTAAACTGTTTAGCAATAAGTTTAAAGGTATCTGATTCTTTAAATCCATTTTTAAGATTCAGCTTTCATAAATACCGTGGTATGAAAAGAACAGAAATACTAAAAATAATGTACCGAGCCACTTTTGACATGCACTAAGAAGCAAGATTAAAGTATAGTAAAGCTAGTTTGAAAAATGTAATTTTTTTCTTTTACAATAATTAGGAAAAAAAATTTTATGGATATTTTGCTCATGTCTAATTTTAACAAGAGCAGTCCAAAGCAGCATGCAGAATTGGGTGTATAGATATATGTATACATTGTCTGGAAAGACTTTGATTTAAGAAAAAAAAAAAA